TGGGGGGCCCCCGGGGCCGGTTCTCGCTCTCGCGGCGCCCTCCGAGCCCTGAGCGGCGGCGCCTGCCTGCCCGCGCGGGAGCGCAGGGCCTTGCTTCGCCGAAATCGGCGCCTCAGAGAGGCCGTTATCGGAGCTTAAGAATAAAATTAACCTATTCGTAGGCTTAGAATTGCATCTGCCTCGCCCCTCGGTACCCTGTGGGTCCGTGACGCTGACCAGCCCAAATTCCGGGTTTCGTTGCCTCGCTGGAGTTTGGGGTTCTCTCCGGACAAACGCTGTACACTGTCACGAATTAAGCGGCCAAAGATGATTCGAAACGCATCACTGTAATTTATGACTAATGAGCAGCCCTTGCGTTTTGCAGAATCAATGCTGTCCCAGTCCGCGTCTCCTCATGCTTTACGTTCCTTTTTCTCCCCAAGTTCCTGGCTGCCCCAGGCGGCTGCGTGCCGAGGAAGCCACTGGCAGAGCTCGCTGCTGGCGCTCAGGGCGTCCCTGCCCACGCGGTGAGTGCAGCGGCGCGGAGTTACGTACAGGCGCTTTCGCCCTTAGGGGAACACAAATTTTCCCAAGTCCAAGTTAACTTTTAACTATAGATGTTTGCTCTCCGGTCACGATATGTAAAAGCAGTTAAGAGCCGTTGGCCTCTTGAGGAGAGTCTAATGGTAACCGACACAATGACTGCTCTACGCTTGTGTGTACCTGTATTTGCTCCCTCCACCACAGAACGTGGCTGGAGATCTTCGGATTTAAGCTGTGCTCCAGAATTCCCTTTTGAGCAACAACGGAAATGAAAGCCTAGCTGAACAAAAGCACTTTACTCTGAAGGGGTACACTAGGCAGCCCGCATTTGCGTGTATGTTACGTTTTGGTATCCGCGTTCTGTTTTGATGCAACTAGATTTAAAATGTCCCGGTGGCTATTAGGTACCATCAGGGAGACTGTTGCACACCGTAAAGGTCGTTTGTTCCACCCGCAAGGCAGGAACGATAGCCCGCAGGTCCGCCGCGAGGATTAGCTTGTGTCTGCGGAGCGTGGCGTACGTTATCTTGGGTGTACTGGATCTGCGCGGAGACGTACAACGGGAGAGTAACATCTGCGCCCCGAACGTGGTTCCAAACGTGGAAATTTTAAAAGCGTGTGTAAAACCACTCACTCTCTTCTTTAATGGGAGATGACAGGAGTATTTGCAGACACACCTGTTACCCACTCTGCTGCACTCTCGGCTGGCGCAAAACAATTCCAATTCAATTTTTGTGGAACTTCTTTTGGGTCATTCTGACGTTCAGCACAACACTGGAGGTTGCTTTTCTCGGGCAGGTAGAGTTCTCTGCAGAAAATCTCACCAGACGTATTACTGTCTCCTGGAAATTACATTACTTGAATAAAGCTAACGGCTGGAACTTCCGTTGGGGATGAAATTAAGCAATGGGAAGGGACAGTCCTTAGAAAACTAAAGTGGAAGTGAAAGTTGCTGGTGTTGAATTAAGTGACAAAATATCTTCCTTCATTCACGTAATGATTTCCCTTCTAGAGCGCAACCGAAGAAGAAGAAGAAAGTGGATGTAAAGAGAGAGCAAGCGCAGAAGGATCGGATGAAAAAGAAGATTAAAAAGTTGGAAAAAGCTGCCCCAGAAATGATTCCAATTGAGGATTTTATAACGCCGCTGAAGTACTCCGATAGCAACAGGTCAGTAAGACTGTCTTTCACCATGCGCTTGCATTCATGGTAGAAACGCTTCTCATTTCTTTCTCTGCCAAACCGCGGTGCAGCGCCAGCCTTGGTACAAAACCTTATCTACTTCTACCAGGACAAAAACGGGGAAAGCAAATTTTATTTGCTCCTGTTAAAAGGAGTGAAAAAATAGTAACACGAATTCCTGTTGGAATGACCGCGGAAAACCCGACAGCCCAAGGCATGAATGAAACGCATTCTCTGGGTCTGGGGGGGGGTTCTTGTTGTTTTGGTTTTTTAAATTTGCTCTTTTGGGTGCAGGCTATTTCTCTATTACAGTGTTACCTTGTTCTTCATCAGGGTGCGAAGTCTTCCCCCTCTGTCGTTTGAGGAGACTGAAAGAAGAGTTTTACTCATGAAAAAGTGGTGTTTGTTTAAGCAGAAACAAGACAAGGCAGAAAAGAAAGCGATCCAGACCCTTGTGGAAGCTCAGCAAGAGGCACTAAAGGAACTGCGCCTGGAGTCCGAGGAGCTGTATCAGGCCGCGATCAGACGAGATGAGGGGCTCTTCCCCTTCGAGAGAGATGGACCCGATTACACCCCACCGCTTCCCGGTTACGACCCTCCTGAAGGAAAATGCGTTGATATCACCAAAGTGTACACGCAGTGATGGAGGACTCTGTTGGTCATCTGGCACGAGCCACGCGGCCAGCTGAAGGAGGAGAGAATGGAGTAAGAATAAACAATTCCTTCTGCAGGTTCAAATACCGTAGGTGTGTGACTGTGAAAAACCATGCTAATGAAGGGCCTGTTTGTTTGGGGCTTTTGAATGGCTATTAGGTAGTAAGTCACCCGACAAAACTACACTACCTCACTCTTGTGCCGTGCTAGAACAAGACAAAGTAGTAGTATTTTAGAGAGTATTTTATCTTTCTGGGCTTCTCTCTCATCCCTCCATATGCTCCTGAGCAGCAGCTTTGTTGTTCTGCATAAACCATAACTTGGAAGATTCCTGTGCTGTGAGGAAAGAACGCCGCAGCCATCGCATCAGTCTGCCCTCTAAGGGAGGCAGCAGCCGACTGTTTGCTGCCTCTCTTTCCAGACTGCAGTGAAGTACTTTTGCATGTAAGAGGGGAAAACAGATAGAAAGCACACCACGACAAAGCCAAAATTAAGTTTGGGGTTTTTTATATTGCCATGTAAGCATCGTAACTAAGTCTCTAAGGGTTTGCCCTAAAACAAAACAGATCTCTCTTCAGCCATTGAAACCTTTATTTTTGTAGTAATTCTGACTGCTGCCATCGACACACGCCACCATTCAAGGGTGTTCCAGAGAGGGGCAGGGTTGCAGTTTCAGGGGCTGCGATATCATCCCACCAGGCGAGAAGCTCTTAACCCGCGACAGTAATGAACCTGGGAAATGCCTTTTCAACGCCGGTGGTTGTGGTGATCCTGAAGAGGCAGGGAGAAGTCCCGGCTTGCTTCTGTTCTCCCATCTGGCTGGCCTGGGCTGGGCACCTTGTTCCAAAAGTGTGCCACACCGGCTGGCAGGGGAGGAGGTCCTCGTCTAACAGGAGGAGCTAGATCACGTATGCACTAATTTGGGAGTCGCCTGCTGAGTTGCGGAATGAAATCCTAAAGTGTAAGACAGTAATAAGGGTCCAGGATCAAACGAAGCACTCAGTTCTCCCTTTAAAAAATACTGGGTGTTTAAATAAACTCTCAGTATTTTTGAGTGAGTGCTAAAAGTATTGCAGGGCAGAGCTACAGTTGTATAATTTCAAGATGACACGGAAGGAAAAAACCAGCGTAGTTTGGCATTACGTATTACATCACTGACCACGCACAGCAACAGCCTTGCTAATTCGGCGTGTCTTGGTCAAGGGGAAGATACCAGTCAGGTGGTGGGCTCTTCCTGAGCGTCCACACTGGAGCATATCGCTGTTTTTCCATAACTCGAGCTCTTTCGCTCTTGCACAAAGCTTCCTGAAATACAGGAGAAAAAAAAAAAAAAAGAATTACCGGGTAGTGCTGAATGTTCCGGTCTTGGAGAGGACTTTCCTGCTGGGACTCCTCGAGGGAAAACGAGGAACAGGAATTTGTCGTGCTGAAACAGGAGTGCCGAACGCTACGCGAGTCAGCCAGGGTACAGGCTTTCCACCGGGTCCCGTTTATGTTTGGCCCCGACTCCTCCGTTACGAAGGGAGGCACCGGGCCCGCGCCGCCCCGGTCGCTGAGGGGACGAGGGCCGCTGGGGCGGGCAGCGCTCCCGCCCGCCCGGGAACGCTTCCCGCCCGCGGCACGGCGGCTCTCCCTGCT